TTAATAGTTCCTTCAATAAACTCCTTCAGTTGATCGATGGGAATCATCCCTTCAGATGAGACATGGATAGCCTTAGCGGATGCTACTCGTACCAGGGGAGAATCAATCTCTGGAACTTCTGGGAGCTTGCCAGGTGCATGGGTGGATTCTTTTTCCATCAAGATTCCTACCATGTCTGTTAGCTTGTCAATTCTAGCATCTTGATTTTGCATGCACATGGTCAAGCCAGCAATTGCTTCCGTCAAGTTCGCCAACTGCTCTTCCACAGATGAAGTGTTTGTCACCATAGCTTGCATGATTGTTGTAGATGATGGTGAGTAGCATGGATTGTCACACTGATTGATTCTCGAATGGCTCACGTTACACGGTGTAAGTGGGGAGGATCCATCACTTGAAGCATCATCATCTTCCTTCACAGCCGAGTTCTTGGATCCGGAGAGGTCAAGCAGAGCAAGAGTTTTCTTGATCTTTTCAGCAACATCGCTTCTTCCTTCGGGTACGTTTGTGGAAGATCTTGCTCCTTTTGAGGATGAAGGTCCGAAAACAGGGGTTGATGCGGATGGAACTTGGGGTGCTTGTTGTCCTAACGAACTTGCTTTGCTCCTCGTAACTGGTCCAAATCTTTCAAAGGTAACATCGAGGATGCTTTCCACATCAGCATAGAACCTGGAATTAGCAGCCTTAGTGGAAGTTGAACTGGAGTTGATTTTCTTTGAAGGCATTTCAATGTTCTTGAACTTTGGTGATTTGAAAATTTGAGATGAGAGGTAGAGATTGTCCCACTGGGTATGCTAGAATTTGTAGACAATAAATTTGTGTCACGAAAATAATTGAGACTGAAAAATATCGCAACAATCGTAATATTTGATTTCAAATAATATGAGGGTACAATCTCTATGAATCCTCTGATTCTTCTTTCCAATAGTAAATAAATTCAAGGGCCTTCGAGCTTGATCTTGAATATGTAGTTGTTGCCACGAACGATGATCTTGTTCTTGAGCTTGATTGCTTGAACTTGATTTGTTCTTCGTTCTTGAGCTTGAACTTGATTGCTTTAACTTGAACTTGATTGCTTGAACTTGAAACCTGTGGAGGAATTTGCAGTGTTTGATCCATGAGCTCTTTCTTGCTTCTTGTTATAACTCCTGGTGTTTTTTCTGGGTTATGAAGATCCTATTTATAGTTGTAAGAGGGAAGAGTTATGATAATAACAAACTCTTTCCGACCAATCAAATTAAAGTGTGACAAGACCGCATTTGATTGGCCACAACATGTCACTCGCACATGTGGCGCAGTTTCATTGGCCTTTTAATTTGACTTGGCATGCCTTGTCATTTTGACACGTGCATGATCCCATTGGCTCTTCTGCTTGACTTGACGTGCCACGTCATTTGATATGTGATACCAAACTAGGCCTCTAGGAAGATGATGGGCTTAATAAAGTGGGCTCATCACTTTAGCCCAACTAAATGGGCTAGCCCCCTGGATTAAGACTTATTTATTTAATCTGTATATCTTGGACTTATATAATTAATTCAATTATATTAGCCCATAATATTTATTTGGACCAATATATCTTGAATTTTAAAATATAATCCAAATTCTTTTATGAATTTAATTTTAATAAAATTTATATGCCTGCAGTGTCATTATACAGTTTTGACATGTTTGTGTTACTTGTGATTACACTCTCCAATTCTCAAGGGGGGACCGAGAATTGCTGGTAATTACTTAGTGTAATTACAAGTTTTTTGAATCGCTTTTCTTTTCTTTTTAATTTATTTTTTATTTAACTTTTAAAATTCTTTTTTTTTCAAATGTTATTCTTGTTACATTATTTATCCTTTATTTTCTTATTTCTCATTTCCCAACATTTACTTCACGTGTTTCTACATAATTTCTTGTATTTTATTTTTTTGTTAATTATTTTTCTTTATTTTTTAAATTACACTTAGCTATGTTATCATTCTAATTTTTCTAAAAAATTATACCTCGTAATCTTAGAAAGAATAAGTCATCTACAAACTTGACTTATAATGAGTGATGTCTTTAAAGTTGAACTTTATTATTGGATAAGGTTATATGCAAACTTAACTATGTTAAAATGATAGATTACTTTTTAATATTTAAATAATATTCTCATTTTCCAACCTTTATTTTTTGTGGTTGCATGTAGTTGCTCATATTTTTTTTATTTTTTCTTTAGTTTCTTCATTTAGCATAATTGTACTATTATTCTATATTTGAAACTACACTTCCTAATATTAGAAACAATGAGTCACTAATAAACGTGGCATATATTGAGTGATGTCATTAAAGTAGAATTTCATTGTTGATTGAGGTTATAGACTTATGTTTTCCTTTTTTTGGAATTATATTTACTTAACTTATATTGAAACTTATTTTATGTTATGATGTAATTTTACATAAGAGTATTATGTTAATTTTCTTATATTTTAAATTTATGTTATATTTTTCGATTCCATTTTATTTGCTTTAGTAGTATTGACTTATTAATTCATATTGCATGTCATTCATTTTTCAGTTACAATTGATAGATTTATTTTCATAAAATATTTGGGTAATGTTATGGCATTATATTTATAAATATTAATATTTTTATCAACCATGATGTCTATAAATTATGTACTTTTAGTTTTTATTATTAAATAAAGTAAAATATTATTAATTTGAAAAATATATGTCAATTATTTTTACAATATTAGTTACAAAATATGATTAGTAATTAATATATTCTCAAGAAACAATATGTATCTTAAATGTCAAATCTAATATCATTTAAGATCATATATTTGTTAAATCTTAAATTTTAATTTTGATAATTAACTTTATATTTAAAATTTAATCTAACTGTGAAATTACACTTGTACAACCAAACAATACACTTGTAATTACATAATGACAAACAAAAAGGTCATCGTAATTACGATATTGTATAATTACTAGGTTGTGTAGAAAGTACCCTAGCAATTACATGATAATTCTCGAATTCGGTAACATGATAGTATTTGTTACTCATACGTTAATTGGTCTTGTGAAGGTAATATTTTCTGCTTATATTTGTTACTCATACGTTAAACATAATGTTGTTTTCTTTAGTTCCAGCTTTTTAATTCCACTATCTAATTTCAAGTTTAAGAGTTGATTTTTTAGGTTGGGATTTTAAGTAGATCTTCTTTATGATGGAAAAGGTAAATGTTGTTCAGGTGTCATTTTTCATGATCATTGTTCAAATCTTATACTACTTGACAGTTGACATTAGTATTTGTATCTACTATTTAGAGTTTTTACATTATGTGATTAAATATTTATTAAAAATTTGACGACTTAGAATGTAAAAAGGTATCATCTAATAAAAAGCTTATATACTCTTAGATAATAGGAAAAGTTTTCCTTTAAATTTTATAACATGTGATATTTATTTTGGTATATGTCCTTGAGATATAAATTAGTAATAATATATTAGTTCTTCGATACTTATAAAAAGCAACACGATGCACAATACTCTCACTATACATGAGGTCCAAGAAAAGCCGGACTATATTAAATTTATTGTACATAACCTTACGTTATATTTCTGTAAAATGTTCCTTCCACATACAATATTGGAGCATATAATATCAGAAGTTATTCTCACAGGGCTTCTTCAATCCTTTAAGACAATTGAAAAATATAATTCAGTTATACATAATACTAAAGTGCTTGGACTTTTTGTTACTTTGTTCATCCACAATTAACATTGACATGTTAGGAGTTAGGAAGGCTCTTTAGTGAGCCTACACTTGTGAATCAATTTAGTCTGGTCAGTGAATTTCGAATATTAGATATCTAACGAAAAAAATGACATGTTATAATTCCATTTGAAAAACATAAATTATCCTTGACTTTTATAGCGAGTTTGTGAATGAACAATTTATGTATGCTTTTATGGTCTTGGCTTAGAAGAGCTAAGAAAAATATTTAGCACGTAATCAGTGGTGGAGCCACATGCACCCAAGAGGTGTCAACCGACACCCCTTCGTCGGAAAATTACACTGTTTAACTCGGTAATTTTTTTAAAATATGTATATATACTATATAATGACACTCTTTGACTTCTTGGTGAGTTTATTTCTTTATATTTTGATTTCCCTTAATGAAAATCCTAACTCCGCCACCGCACGTAATATCACAATTTTGACATGTCCAATTGGAAACCATGTTTTGTGAATGAACAATTTTGCTCATTTTCCAGAACGGCAGCACTGTATGCTTCTTTCTTTTTTTCAGAGTGAAGAAAGAGGAAACGATGGGGTTTGATTAATTTTCTAATGAAATTGTTTCACAAAGTAGATGTCTCTAGGAAGTTCAGCAAAGAACCAAAAGTGCCAGAGAACAGCAAAAGAAATAGGACATATAAAGAACTAACTGCATGAATATGAAATTCATATTATAGATTTATAACCACACATTCATAATCTTAGTATGAAGATTTAAGAACAGAATCAGTATCAACACTACTGCTGATTGATTTTCTTAACAAGTCAAATGAAGTGAGGGAACGTGGAGACAGTACAACATCCATGCTCTCGCTAACTTTTTCAAGCATCGCTTTAACAGGCGATACCTGCATAAATAGAAAAACCAAAAATTTTAAGAAAAGCAACCACCTAACGAAGGTAACAAATTTAAATAATTGTTTTAGCATTCTCTTCTCTGAGCCGAGGGTATATTGGAAACAGCCTCTCTACCTTCACTAGGTAGAGGTAACGTCTGCGTACACACTACCCTCCCCCGACCCCACCTGTGGGAATATACTGGGTTTGTTGTTGTTGTTTTAGCATGCTCTTCAGACACTAAAAGAGGTGAAAGTTCTCTTAATTACCCTAAATTGTAACTTAGATATCGCTAAATTACAACATTTCAGTAGATATTGAACTGTTGACGAGACAAAGTTTAGCTGCTAACTGTGAAACAGCTTATGTCAAACCAACAAATCTTGCTAGCAGATCCAGAAAATAATATATTCCGTGAAATACCACGAACCTTTTTAGGATATAAAAGAATTAAACGAAAGGATGTTTGTACCTTATTAGGTTCTTTGAAGGAATTTTCATCCATCACATTGGTGGATGTTAATGTAGTTTTTATAGCTCCAGATGACTCTAAAGAGTTCTGATCCAATCCGCTGATAGAGATTTTAAGAGTAACGGTGATGGTCCCGAAGTTCACGACCTGGGGAAAATATCTTAACATATGAGTAATGAACTAATTAAAGATGGAGAATGGTACTGTATAAATGCAAAATAGTCAGAATGATGGTGCATCTTAGGATTTCGGAAATAAAATTATGTTGTCAGCTAATTTCCCTTTTGAACCTGAACTATCATTTACTCATCACATCTACTTAGTATAGAAATTTCTACTTGTTAAGGGTGAATGTAGACCATTCAAAAGTCTTGAAGTGCTAACGATAACCATAAGAAACTAGCCGACCTTAACCCTCCAAGAGCGATGAACCAAAACAAGAAAATATCCACACCTTTATTCTCAAATACTCGTTGTTATCAACTGAATTTCGCCAAGTGATGGCAGATGCTATAAGTGAATTTGAAGGATTAGCTTGCAGTGATGAACTCAGAAGAGTTGCGCCATTTGACTCTTTGAAGAAATGCTGCATCCAATAACTAGGGGTTCCATACATTTGTGAAGAGGTGAACACAATTGCGTCTGGATTCCACCTACATGAAAGAACAATTTGTCCGATAGAATACATTAAGAGAATCTTTAAGGAAAAACAAAAAAGAAAAGAGAAATAAGAGGAGAAGCAATCAGATATACCTCCTGTCATTGTCATTAACAAATAGGGGTGCATAACTTGCCATTTCAATTGCTTCGCTGCACATGGGAAAATTTCAAGTAACATCAAACAAAGAGAACATAGAAAAGAAAAAAAGATGGAATATCGATTAGTTTAAGGTGATTAGCATAGTCGATGCCTGATCTCTAAGATCAAAGTCATCCGGCATACAGTTAATAAAGGTACCACATAGTATACTGTATGATGGACCGGCATAGATTAAAACATTTTCAAGTAAAAGCTAAAGGAAAGATCAGTTATTTGCATATGAAAAAGAGAAGGGCGTTAATCAACGTGGACTTCATTAAGTAAAATCACATATCACCCTTTCTATAAGTAATTCGTCAAAGTAAAAATCATATCACTTTATCGTTGTAGGATTAAATAAACTCATTAATTGGATGATCTAAGGTCTACATAGCAATAGCTTTAGCTATTAGCGGGTGGAAGCTGTCCCTGAATTTTTTTTCTGAATGTGGTCTGCCCCTCATAAGTTTTCTATAACGAGGAAAAAGTAAAAGAAAAGAAAACAGAAGACTGAGAAATAAACCCCCCGCCCCTGAGGAACTACGAATTTGCTGTACCAGCTTTTTCCCCTCAAAAGAAGCAGTGACGCAGCCACCGACTCTAGATACACATGGGAAGCGTTTCAAAAATTTAAAAAGAAAATTAGACATATATTACACAGGTACCTGTTCTTTTCTACCCCAATGAGGAATCCAGCTTCAGCCAATGCTGCTAAAAGACTACCTTTACCAGCATCATTTCCAGTCACAGCATACTCACTTATAAAAGCCTGTAGAAATATATGTATACATAAGCACCACTTAGTAATTTAACTCATTCATCATCAAAAAGGAAGCTTTACCGACCTTTGGTCCACTGCGACGTGTACTATCAAAATGGCGAGCATTAGAAAATACAGAACTTGCGCTGCTATAAATCTAACAATAGAAACATCACAAAGTTAAAGCTCGCGCAAAGACAAAGAAATCAAAGTTAAAGCTTCAGATACATTGAAAGAGTCAGAAAAGCGTCAAGATCTTACATGAAAATCATATAAATCAGCTGGGTGATCCAGTGGACTGGAAGAACCATCACAGTTTGAGATTATCCTAATATCTGGGTATGCATCTTTGATGGATGAATAGAACTTGAGGTAATTTCCTGTATCACAAGGAACAGAAATCACACACGAGAATCTTTTTCTCTAAGATAGGCGCGCTGCGTTGACCTATGCAGAAAATTGTAAAAAATATGTGCTAGAAGTTATGCAAAATATGAATCCTTTATGCTCTATTAATAAGCTCCCTGTGAAACAACGGACAAATATGATCTCCCAAATACGATAAGTATGCCTACCACGGTATTTTGACTTTCCACAATCCTCATTTCCAATCGCCACATATTTCAAATCAAAGGGCTCCGGATGTCCCATTTTGGCTCGCACAGAACCCCATGTTGAGGTAGGATCACCTCTTGCAAACTCAAGACCATCTAAGATTTCCTGGATAGACACAAAATATATTCGTATAAATGTAATGTAGCACGGACTGAATGAAGACGAATTGTTGCTACAAAGCGGGAAGCAAGAGTGTGTTTCCACTGCTAATTTTACTTTCTTAACCAATTTAGGCAACAATAAAAAATGATGTCTACTCTGTAAGTTGATTTCAAAAGATTAATTATTTTGGTGACTTGAATATGTAACACAATAAACTTATTAATGCACAAGCCAAGAAAAGTTTCAACCCGCAAGTATTATAGCCATTAAAATGTAGCTTTTAGTGATGTGAGTTTTTAATCGCTAGGAATTCACAGCTGACAAACAAGAGAAAGGTTTACAACACTAGATAAAATCTACAGTATATTTATTCTATTAAATCTCAGATCATATTTTGATGAGCTAAACATTCAAGAAACCTACTTGCACAAAAGGTAAAATAGCGGAAGTGTCAACTTCATCATGGTGGCTGACTCCTGAAAAATTTAGAAGCATAAAAGGAAGAAGAATTAAATCAAGTAAACAAACGAAATTAACTAATAGACAAAGAATAGTGCATTTGCAGGAGTGGGGGGGCTACCGTTGTTGAAAACCCACACTGGCCGTGCACCTAAGTCCTCGGCAAGCTGCAGAAAAGGACTGGAGTTATTCACATTCAGAAGCACACAAATGTTTGCATCAAGTGTCTGCATGCGTGCTGTTTTTATTTTGGTGTGTGTGTGTGTGGTTAGCATGCATGACCAGCCAAAATGGCCATAGAACATAGAATATTACCTGCAGGAACTCAAAATGGCCAAGCCCATCATCAGTCCAGTAATTCCAAACATCACCAAAGTGCCCCGGCCTCTCTTCCCATTGTCCAATGGTTTCTTTCCACCTAAATGCATTTCTTAAATAGTCACCTTCAACAAAACATCCACCTATAACATGAAAGATTTATCAACATTGGATAATCGTGATCATTAAGAAGCTCATATAGAAGATACGCAGACTGATAGGGGGCCTTCACAGAGGTAAAATGAAAAGGGAGCCTGTAAAGAACACACAACACAATCTTGGAAAAGTAAGTCCTCTAATTGATGAAACTTTTTACTATATTTGTCCTATTCCCTTTTCCTAGCAAACTCCATATAAGCTAGTTGAAAAAGAGAAATTTGATTGCTTCAAAGAAGTAAAGCAAAACAAGAAAAGAAAAGAAAAAAAGAAAGTCCGAGTTTCTAGTAAATTTCAAGTTAAGTTCCTTCAAGCTAACCCCTAGGGAAGGAAACATGTTACTATATGTTGAGAAATCAGAAGTCGAAGTCTGATGGGAAATACTTGCATTAATTGGTCACAGATTTGGAAGTAAGAAAATGTAATAAACTTTGAACAGTTTCTGATACTAATCCCACATGTAACAGTTCATCTCCCATATTACTCAACGGTGATAGACTGATAGTTCTTTGATCTAAGTGTTTAAGAGAAAGTTACTATTAAGACTTGAGGGAAATTGACACTTAATAATTGGAAATATCCTGTTAGCAAATATCTTTCTGGAAACTTGCTAAATGTCATAACGCAGATGATATATGCAGGGTCGCAGCTGCTTTGAATCATCAGTAGAATACTATGTTGTAACTCCAGTTTTGATGCGAAATAAGTCAGAATATTTATTAAAAAAACAAAAAAGAAAAAATAGTGATCCAGATAATGACATTAATCAGATCAGACTTGGAAATTCTAAATATCAGTCTTAGAATTAAAGATGTACATATCTCACTTAGCAGAATTGATCTGTTACAGAATTTTTCAGGTGATTTCATGAAGTATACCAAAAGAATCATACGTGGAATTCAAAAACCAGAAATTGTAAGTATTTTCATGAGACATGCCGTTGGAATCATCAAATATTTAGAAGCCTCTGCTCCATTAATTTCTAGGTAGAATACTCCTCAACTCCTCTTAATTCTTTCATCAAGTGTCTAGGGAGGATATTCACCTATACTAAATGATTAAACCTTTACTCATCTATCAATTCACCTATACTAAATGACTAAATCCCTTATTACACTACACCTTTACTCATCTATCAATTCACCCAAATTCAATCTTTACAAGATAACTTTTCCTTTAATAGAAGTACACCACTCAGTCTCTGTTTGAGAGGAGTCTAAAGAAATGAAAAAAACGATATTACTGAAACTCCTGTGAGAAAAAAATTATAGGAATACTTAAGACAGTTGTACATGGACTTCTTTTTTATCTTTAAGAAGTAGCTGGCCTCCTGTGGCTTTCGAAGTTCTTCCTTGCATAACATTTTTTTTAACTATACTTTCTGTGTCCAATTTACTCATGAATAATTCCTCTCAACTGATATTTTACTTCCTCGTCAAGAAGGGCTCATGTGAAAAAAGTTATAAATAAGTAGCAGGTACAAAATACTAATAACTGTAATTCACAGTCCATCAGTTGGTACAGTTACATGATCCTCATGGAAGAAGCTGAAATGTATTGGAGAATACCTGGAAATCTAATGAATGCTGGTTTCAAATCTTTAAGCATTCCAAAAAGATCTTTCCTGAAGCCATGGCCCTGTGCCAAGAAAATTGCCACAAACCACATTTATCATGCAAATACAACTAATGTCCTACAAAAATGAAAAATAAGAAAGAAAAGGAATCGAAACTAGTTGCAATAATTTGTGAATTTATCTTCATTGACAATTTTACACATTATTAGTTAACAATGCCTACATGGTCAAGAAGTTTTAATTTTTCCCAAATGTAAAACCTAATAATATCCTCTGAAGTATTGAGAGAGGATTCATTTATAGGCGACCCCAATTTATTTGGATAAAGGTTAGTTTACTGATTGATATAAACAATCCACTTTAGGAGTTTTTTGGTTCAGAAATATGTCATTAACTCAGCCAGCTGCATTAAAGCCAGTCTCCTTGATTAAATTTGAGCCTTCTCTGAATGCCTACAAGAAAGTTCTAAGTTACATACCTTATATGTGTCCATAGGCATCAATGACACTTGATCAAACCATATAACACCTTTTGTAGTTGATCTCAATTCGAGTCTTGAATTGGGATCTGATCCTTTTGCTTCTAACAGAATTTCCACTTTTGTCCAACTTGAAACATCGGCAGTTCTGCAAGAACATGTTGAATGAATTGTGTGCAAGAAGCAAACTTTGTAAAAACACTGGAAATAAAACTAGCTAGACATATACTTACACTATGTTGGAAGTAGCCAACTTTTGCAATCCATTTGAACCAGTTAAAGCGACAGATACATTGATTGATTCTTGCGAACGAACATAAAGCACTAGTTTATAACTCTTTCCCTGCTCAATATTCTGAAAGAAAGCATAAAATGAGGACAATAAATACAGAACATGCACCAAAGAATACTTAAAGAAAGCACCACCTAGATCGGCATCTTAGTTTATAACAAAATTCTGATTGAAATCTAAGCGAAGAATTGATGATACCATTGAAGGAAATCCATGTTACTACCAAAGCCCATAGTACGTATTGTCTGCTTTGGCCCAACAAGCCTCACGAATTTGTCCATTATTGGATTACGCCATATCGAGCCCAAACGCGTGCATAGCATGTAAACATAAATTCTATCTTATATAGCACATGTTCACATGGTACATGTGCTTTTGGTCTTCATGTGGCATAGTGCAACAAAGAACAAATCTGTAAGGTTTGATGGGACAAAGTGGATAATACTTACCATGGGCTTGGGCCGTGACAATATGGTATCGACACCGAACTCCCGCAATACAATGGTGGGGCAAAACTCTTCTTCACTAAGTCCCTATGGGGGTGTATGTGACGCCCATAACGGAGGACAGGTCAAAAAGAAGGATTGGCAGGCTTCTTCTGAAGAAAGAGTGCATATAATACCTTAGGCAAATTCCACATCAAAAAGAAAAAGGAAAATGAAGTGTTATATAGAATAGAGTACAAATTCACATGGTAGGCGCTTTTTTAGGCTCGATGCGGCATAGTACAATAAGGTACAAATCCGTGAGATTTCTTGGACTAAAGCGGACAATATGTGACATGAGCTTGGGATGTGACTATCCAATGTGCTTATACTATTGCACAAAATTGGACATTGTCACAGTGAATCCTTGAGAGAGGAAGAAAGGGGAACGCGTGAACAACATTTCAGTCAAGCATGATAAACATACCATGCCCCAAAATCCAGGGTTGTAGATACCAACTCCTCCATCTGGGCAGATATTGGTGCCTCTATGGTCACAGAGCACCTGCATTCGAAGTGCAATTTTATTCCGATCAAAGCATGATGAACGATCTGTCGAGACAATCACTGAGGACTCATCCCCGATGATAGACCAAGGATCAATATTCGAAGGTACATTTGGGCCTCCAGCTTCAAAACCTGAAAGTGATTTCAAGAAATTTAACACTTATAAAATAAATGTCAAGAATATATAGGAGGTAAAACTCTTATTGCATGAATAGAACTAGAAATTTCACATTTAGTGCCTTATTAGTATTTTGACCAAAGTCTTCTTATCAGTCAAAATTCAAAAAGCAACGTCTTGTACTATAGTGGCACACTAAGAATAAAGCACTCCAGGTTAACAGTCACCTAAGAAGAAATATTTCGAAAGGGAAAAGAAATAATGGCGATCCAAGAGAAAATTCAGCACAAAATCATGTAATGATTGTCTCTAATTTTCTGCTCGAGCAACATAAACGTAAATACTTCATCCTTTCCGTATGATTCCTGTTTGTCCTTTGTTTTCCTTCTTTTTAAGGTCAAAAAAATCCAATTACTACTTAATCACTACGAAGTGAAGCATGTATTATTTTTCTTTTTAGAGAATTTTCCTTTGCTAAGGCAACAATAAAGTCAAGCTGACCTCTGTTGCTGACAAGCTCAGCCCACAATCCACCAGCTCCAGCATGATTGATCTCCTGAAATACAACGTTCCGGGTGTTATAAACTAAAATCAATTGACATCATCTAATTTCAAGGAAAATTCAGTCCAATTTATTGAGGAAAAGTTTTCCCTTTATGCCCACATAAAGAAGGCATGTATTATTCTCTTCCAGATATTTGGAAAATGTTGAAACAGGAAATCAATTGACATTCCTACTTTTTTCTTTAGTTCAAAAACTGATCAAACAGGAAATTTTTTCAAGAATTGAGAATGGGGATTTTGGCTTGCCGGAATGAATTAATTAAAACGTATTCTAGATGTATTTTCAAGAAGCAGGATGTTATGATTCTGAGTATCATATACATTAGAAATAGTTGTCCGGTAGAAGAAACGATTGCATGAAAAAGAATATGGCAAACAAACACCTAATACAAGAAATGAGTTACATACTAAAAATTAGAAGGTATACACTTCTCATTTGCAATACAAATTGAGAACCCAACTGACTAAACTCACCTCAAAGAATATACCAAAAAGAGTATCAGGTATTTTCCTTGCTGATGCTTCAGATGCATTCACAAACAATACTGCTGTCTGGTTCGCTTCAACCCCAGTAGCCGAACATTGACACAGGGCAGACAGACCGCACAAAATTAAAAGCAGTACGTGATAAAGGGAATGCCTTGACTCCATCTCCTTCTCAGTCTATTCGCTGTTGCTGCTGTAGGCCTGCAGCCTATTTAAGCTCTGAGAAAGGTGCAAATTCAGTTAGATTTTGATCATTAATGGAAGTATAAAGTTATCAAGTTGCTTCCTTTTACAACAACCTAATGTCAGCATAAGACAGAACCGAAAAGATTATTGTCTGAATTAATAACAATAAGAGTCAGGTTTGTCGGATTTTTCTGCTTATACTAGCACGATAGTAACAGCAATCAAGGAATACAATTCAATACATAAAAGATAAGCCATAAAAAGGAGAAAATGTTGTAGTGCAAATATTATGTCTATTGGCTCACACATTAGTTCCCAAAGTATCCAAGTTACTGGATAAGCTTTGTCAGATTAAAATGACAGAAGGACTGAAGAATGACAAAATGACCAAATCCATAATACAAATGAAACTCATTAAGTTGAATTCATAAGGAGATGCTAGATATAATGGCTCAAAAGCCAAACTTATTGTGCTACACTAAATTATTGAGCTTAAGATTGGAAGCTATTGCTTTGATGCAAGGGAAAAAGTCGCCACCATATGATCAGGAGGTCACAAATAGAGGCGCACCCATGCTATACAGAGAGGAGTCATCGGCACCCATAAAATACGGCAAAAATTTCATGTATATGTCTTTAGAATATAGTGATATATTAGTAGTGGACACCCTATATACAAAACAAATTTTGCTTGATTCCAAAAGTGCATCTGCGACCTTCAACTCCTGGGTCGGCCTCTGGTCACAAGTACAAGTCATGGAATATTGTCTATTCTAGGAATGCAAGATAAGGCTGCGTTCCTTGTTTTTATATACTAAAATTTGATAATTATAAATTCTATTTTTTTATTGTTTTTTATTTTTAAACAAATGTATGGATTATACAATATATATCCAGATTGGAAGGGGAGACTTGGCGTAACTGGTAAAGTTGTTGTCATGTGACCAGGAGGTCACAGGTTCAAGTCGTGGAAACAGCCTCTTGCAGAAATGCAAGTTAAGGCTGCGTACAATAGACCCTTGTGGTCCGGCTCTTCCCGACCCCGCGCATAGCGGGAGCTTAGTGTACCGGGCTGCCTTTTTTATTTATTTATGGATTATTCAATATATATCCAGATATTATAAGATTAATCATCACCCTATAACAATGCATATACTATGGCAATTATTATTAACTGTACTACTATCCCTATATTATAATCCATCGGTGTATAACTTGTTGACAAATTAGACGGCCCCTAAGTTTATAGGAAGAGAAAAAGCCCAACTTTTAATTTGCACTCAAAGCAAACAAGGGAGCACAATTAATTTCCTTCACTCTCCTCCATTTCCCTTAATTGAACAAGAATTGCCGAAGTTATTCCAGAAATGAATAGAATACAGTGATCAAAAGAGGAAACAGAATTGGAAAATCTCAAAAGTTCAATTACTAATAGCAAGAAACAAGAAAGACCAAATATGAGGAATTCATTAATATATCAAGATCACTCTGTTTTTTCACCTGGAAATGAGCTGGCCCAGCAAATAAACTTGTGGGTTTTGCTGCTCTGACGTAGTAAAAGATTATACAGAAGAGATGATGAGGTTAGTTATAGAGTGAGCTCACTGCTGCAAGTCTTGTTATAAATAATGACACTTATATTTTGTGTATACAAGCAATTATTGTGTGTGTATATATATAGTTGAAAATGGGAGAGAGAGTTTGAGTTTGTTTATTGCTTGAAGTAAAGCAAGAGGTTTTGTCTCTCTTTGCCTTCACGTATGCAGTTTGTTTTGTTTCCTTCAAGTACTGGGCAGAGTATATTAGGGAATTGGGACCAATTCTTGAAGATGTTTTCTTATCCTCTTTTAGTGGGTGGCCCCACACTATGCAAATTGATGTTTACTGGATAATAATCTTTTTTCCTTAATTTTTTTTTTTCCATTTCTTTGGTCCGACTAAACACTGGAAAGTCCTACTTTGAAAATAAAATACTTTCTACAAAAAACAATTTCATTTTTAGATTCAACTTTGAACTTTTAATTAAGGATGGAGGGATGTTTTCGACAATCTTTACGCGTAGTGGATTATTTATTTGCAATGGAATAAAAGAGGTTATCAATTTGCTACTTTTTTTTCTTCTAAAATTCATTTAACCATTTGTATACCGTTAAAACCAGGCCCACCCGATTTTACTGTTTGACCGAGACCGGGAGTTTGCATCGAAGAACGGTCTCGTAACGGAATAGGCCATATCACGAGGATAAGATACTGAGCTCAGAACCGAGGTACCTGTCGAGATCGAGGCTAGTAGCGATCGAAGCCAAATGAGACAGACATTGAGCAAGATCGAAGATAGCATAATAACAGAAAGGAAAGATATCCGCGGCTGACCGAGGATCATGGAGTAAATCTCGGTGACTGGTCGAGGATCATGACGTAAATCTTGGAACGGATCAAATCAGAAACAGTTAATTAGCTAATCATAGGGTTTCTTTCTGTAATTAAAAAATTGTACCATAAGTGGAACTCTTCTACTATATAAAGGGGGGTTCTAATCATTTGTAGGTCACGATTGACAGACATAAAAAGCAATATAATTCTCTTTATTGTTCTCACCATTGTTATTCAGCTTGTTATACTTTCATAGTTCTTGCATCAACCAGTTCGAGGGTGTCCAAACTCGAGGGCTGACTTTCATTCTAACACTGGTTTGCTTTACTTTATTGTTAATTTCTATTACTCATCCTCACATTTATCAATTGGTATTAGGTGAAATCACGTGTCCTTGGAATCATATTTTAAGTTTAATTGTTATCCAATTTTAAGGGTAAACAGTTTGGCGCCCACCGTGGGGCTAAGGATAATAGTGATTGCTTAATACTAATTTCAATAACACACGCTGCTTTACACTTGTTCTCGTAAGAATCTTTGTTTTTAGGATAAACATGTCAAACTCACAAGCAGCACCTACACATGGTGACGACAGCCTTGGATTTCACGGGGAAAACGACAACATAGCCGCCCCAGGAATCGAGGTGCCTCAGGCCGACCTCGAGGGAGCACCAATTGCAAATCCCGTCGATGTCAGTTCACATGTCTCCCTAAATGCAAATATGGGCGTTGAGCCTGAAGGTAGTATACACAAGGAAGTTCGATCAGGTGGTCGAGATACGCAGGACGGAGAAGATGGTGGAGTTAGCCTCCAATTGATATTCGAAATGTTACAGGCTCAATAGGCCGCTATAGCATAACTACAAAATCAACACCGAGCATCGAGTAGGATTGAACTAGAAGTCGTTCAAAGGACCGAGCCTGTGCCGGAAAGGTCGAATGCCAACAAATCGGGAACTGACCCCGCCATTATGAAAATGTTCGAGGAGCTCACTAAACGGATTGAATCGGGAGAAAAGAAAATCGAGGCAAATGACAAGAAAGTAGAGACATACAACTCCCAGGTTGACCAAATATCGGGAGCGCCGCCGATTCTAAAAGGTATTGATTCAAAGAAATTTGTACAGAAGCCTTTCCCTCCGAGTGCGGCACCGAAACCCATTCCGAAGAAATTCTGAATGCCAGAAATTCCTAAGTACAACAGGACCACTGACCCTAACGAGCATGTCACTTCTTATACATGCGCAATAAAGGGAAATGACTTAGAAGACGATGAGATTGAATTTGTTCTACTAAAGAAATTTGGAGAAAACTTGTCGAAAGGAGCAATGATATGGTACCATAATTTGCCGCCTAATTCCATCCTAATTCCATCGATTCCTTCGCCATGCTTACAGACTCCTTCGTTAAGGCACATGCCGGAGCAATAAAGGTTGCGACTAGAAAATCGGACCTTTTCAAATTGAGAAAAAAAGACAACGAAATGTTGAGGGAATTCGTATCTCGGTTTCAGATGGAACGCATGGAACTACCACCGGTCATAGATGATTGGGCTGTTCAGGCCTTTACTCAAGGTTTGAACGAACGAAGTTCGGTGGCATCACGACAGCTAAAGCAGAATTTAATTGAATATCCAGCGGTAACCTGGGCCGATGTACATAATCGGTACCAGTCGAAGATCAGGGTCGAGGATGATCAATTGGGGACCCCTTCCGATCCCACTTATCCAAACAAGCCCGTCGGCAGAACTCAAAGGGATATCGACAAAGAACCCCGGTCGAGCAGAGATATGTATCTACCATACAACACAAATCGTAGAAACAACAGCCCAGGACGCAATCCCATCCGAAATGATTGAAGGAACGATCGAAGAAAGAGCTCTCGAGGGCTCATGAACAAAAGTGGCTTCGATAAACATGCCAATCCCATAGAAGCACCACGATTGTCAAAATACAACTTCAGCATCGACGCATCAGGTATTGTGTCAGCCATTGGAAGAATCAAAGTTATTAAATGGCCCATACCCCTACAAACCAATCCATCCCAAAGGAACCCCAATCAAACATGCAAATACCATGGTACACATGGTCATAAAATCGAAAACTGCAGACAACTAAGGGAGGAGGTGGCCCGTCTATTCAACGAGGGTCACCTTCGAGAATTCTTGAGCGACCGAGATAAAAACCATTTCAGAGATAGAGACGCAAACAAGAAGAATGAGCAGGAAGAACCACAGCATGTGATTCACATGATCGTTGGTGGGGTCGATATTCCACAAGGGGCCATGTTCAAACGCACTAAAGTATCAATCACCAGAGAAAAACGAACTCGAGACTATGTGCCAGAAGGCACTTTATCATTCAATAATGAGGAAATAGAAGGGATTTCACAACCCCACAGTGATGCTTTGGTAATCTCTATCCTTATGAATAGAATTCAAGTTAAACGTGTTTTTATTAATCCAGGAAGTTCGGCCAATATTATTCGATCGAGGCTCGTAGAGCAGCTCGGCCTACAAGATCAGATCGTACCCGCAGCTCGGATTCTCAATGGCTTTAACATGGCAAGCGAAATAACTAAAGGTGAAATCATCCTACGAGTAAATATAGCCGGAATTATTCAATAAATAAAGTTTCATGTGATCGAAGGCGATATGAGATACAATGCACTACTCGGAAGACCCTGGATTTACAACATGAGGGCGGTCCCCTCAACCCTTCACCAAATACTGATGTTCCCAAAATCGGATGGAGTAAAAATGGTGTATGGGGAACAACATGCTGCCAAAGAGATGTTCGCGGTCGATGAAGTAATACCGGTATCAGCAATTTCGTCAATAAAAGGATCGGAGTCCAAAAGAAAACAGGAAGCTAAATAGAAACCACAGCTACCCAGCCTCGACTCAATCGGAGAAGCAGGGAACGGACGAGGACGATGACTATTGGATCCCTCGATCCTTCATAATCCTCGAGGATTCCGACGCCACCAAATCGACGGTCGAGGAGCTGGAGCAAGTCGTACTGATCGAGCATCTACCCGATCGAAAGGTATACCCGATCGAGCATCTACCCATATCGATAATATGGATTGTTTTGCTTGGTCCCATTTAGATATGACAGGGATCCCGCCGGAAATCGCTACACATCGACTGAGCTTGAACCCGAAGTTTCGCCCGGTAAAACAAAAGAGAAGACCCCAGTCCGAGGTAAAATATGCATTCATCAAGGACGAGGTAACCAAACTTCTTAAAATAGGATCCATTCGGGAGGTAAAATATCCCGAATGGTTAGCAAACGTAGTCGTAGTCCCTAAAAAGGGAATTAAACTTAGAATGTGCTTAGACTATAAAGATTTAAACAAAGCATGTCCTAAAGACTCTTTTCCTCTACCGAATATCAATCGCATGATCGATGCCACTGCCGGCCACGAGATCCTTAGTTTTCTCGATGCCTACTCCGGGTACAATCAAATACAAATGAACCCGGAGGATCAGGAAAAGACTTCGTTTATCACTAAGTACGGCACCTATTGTTATAATATAATGCCGTTTGTACTAAAAAATGCTGGTGCCACTTATCAACGCTTAGTAAATCGAATGTTCGAAGAACAAATAGGTAAGTCAATGAAAGTTTATATTGACGATATGTTAGTTAAGTCCCTGCGAGCAGAGGACCATTTGACACATTTGCAGGAGACCTTCGATGTACTAAGGAAATACAATATGAAACTCAACCCGGAGAAATGTGCATTCGGGGTCGGCTCGGGCAAGTTCCTCGGTTTTATGGTATCAAATCGGGGTATGGAAATCAACTCCGATAAGATCAAGGCGATCGAAGATATCACCGCCGTGGATAATGTTAAGGCCGTACAAAGATTAACAGTGCGCATAGCCGCCCTAGGCCAATTCATCTCAAGGTTTTCAGATAGAAGTCACAGGTTCTTCTTGCTGCTCAAAAAGAAGAACAATTTTGCATGGACCCCGGAATGCCAAGAAGCATTGTAAGAATTAAAGCGGTACCTCTTGAGCCCACTACTGCTTCATACTCTGAAAGCAGACGAGCAACTCTACTTGTACTTAGCAGTCTCGAAAATCGCGGTAAGTGGAGTCCTAGTTCGAGAAGAGCAAGGTACGCAATTTCCTATTTACTATGTTAGTCGAACTCTAGGTGAGGCCGAGACCCGGTACCCACACTTAGAAATATTAGCGCTTGCCCTAATAAGCGCCTCTAGGAAATTAAAATCATATTTTCAGTGTCACCTGATCTGTGTGGTAACTACTTATCCCCTTCACAATATTTTGCACAAACCCAAACTTTTAGGCCGATTGGCCCAATGGGCCGTCGAGATTAGTGGGTACGATATCGAGTATCGACCCCGAACAACCATCAAGTCTCATATC